AAGAGAGAGAGAGAGAGAGAGAGAGAGAGAGAGAGAGAGAGAGAAAATCGGAAGTATAACGTATACAAGAAATATAGTGGCGTATCTGCCTATGATATTGCAGAAATCGCGAAATTCGAAAGCACAAGAGGATAAGGGGCAGAGACGAAACTTTTCAAATGAGCCAACTTTGCGTGTGTCTTGTACTTTCGATGCCCGCGTCTCGCAAACCTCTCCCCCCTTTTCCTTTTCGGAAGCCTCGCATATTAGCAAAGTTGTCGGCCGAAGTGAACAGTTCCGATTATCTCGCGTTTTCGATGTATACGATTTTTCCCTCGCACCCTCGAAAAACTTTCGATAAGTTTCGCATTACGTTTTTCTTATATTGCGATGACGATATGCAGAATCAAGCATAAAAATAAAAGAAAAGTATTTATCTACTTTGCAAGTCCTACTCACGTTTAAATTTACATTTACAAGTTTAAATTTATTATGCTCATCTTATCATCGCTATTCATATTCATCGCTATTTTATTCTACGATAAAAATATTAAATGATTCGATGATTAAAAGGGCCACCGTGATTCGATCTGCAGATACGACTTAAAAATACATTCTTTGTTATTTATACAGTAATAAAGATTAAACATTCGTTATTCTTTTTATGCGATACGCCAAACGAGAGATACGGATAGATATTAAAATATTTCAATTTTCTCTTTCCCGACGCGGACGAGTTTCGATTAAATAATTTTTCTGGCGGAGCTCGTCTTGCTGCCGGTTAGAAAAGGAGATTGCCCGGATAAAAGATTAAGTTCGTTTTCCCAACCGGCCGTTAAATCGTCGCTAATCGCCGTTTTCCAGCACGCTGACGTCTGACCGACCGACCTTTTCTGTTTCAGGCCAAGTTGTTGGAGTCGTCCCACGCTTGGCTCGGCGCCTCCACCTCCAGTATAGCAGGTGAGTCCCGTTTTCGTTTTTCTCCTCTTCGTCTCGTTTCGATACGTTTCAGGAGATAATCGCCCTCTCGACACGGCCCTCCCCCGGCCGGACGTAACGTGGGAGCCTCCACGTTAGGCACATACGCACAAACGCAAAACAGCGTCTGCTCGTCTATCTCTATAATACAGGGTGTTACCGTACTTCCTTTTATCGATAGACGATGAAATCAAGATTAAAATCGATAGAAAAGGAACTCTATGATTATACGACATAAAATATTATGTCATATAAACGTCAACTTGAGTCTCGAAGGAAAATGATTGTCATTTATTATTATTTTACAAATTTGAGAAACACTAAGATCAGAATGGGAGGCGCAATATTTTGTTTTATTATTATTGTTATAAGTTTATTGGTTGTAATTATTTAGGTGCCGTCTGTCGTCAAAGGAATGAACGAAGACACCCTGTATAACCCCCCCCCGTTTCACCGATATGTTTAAAAAGACTTGACATTTCTCTCATATACACAATATCTGTCGCATCATCCGCCGCTTGTATCTGTCGCGTGAA